TCAACTTCAGAGGCATAGAACTCTCACAAGCTGCTCTCTCTCTCTCTCTCTCTCTCTCTCACACACACACACACACACACACACACACACACACACACACACCACCTGGGAACTGTCTTGCTTACTAAATTTTGTCCATACACCAGGGAAATATTCCCTCCTCTCTTTCTTTTCTTTTCTTCCCCAACCACAGAAGTTCTGGGGATCAAACTTAAGACATCACTCTACCACTGAGCTACAGCCCCACCTTCTTTTGAATTTCTGGAGTTTCCATATAAGTTTCAGACATGCAGTCACATTCATGTACAATCTTCTGTGGTTGGGATTAGTTGCTTATATGCTTCGTAATCTGTGACTGTGGCATTATGAAATAGGGCTTTGGTTCTCCAGCACCTTGGCTCTCAACTCAGAATACTCAACCTAGACCCATGAATTCTCTATTGGGTAACACAGTGGACTATAAATCTGAAAGACGAACATGCCACACAGAAGATAAAGGTTACCTTAACTAAAACTCTCAACATAAAAAATAATTAAAGGAAGACTGGGCCCTATTAAACTCCATCACACTTAAAACAAGAGTCATTCTCAAAGGAAAGTTATCCTTCCTTCTTTCAAGAAATCTGACCACAAGTACTCTAAAATCCATTAGTAAAGTTGCAATTCCCACCTTCTACTGTTTTCCAGCAGGCACATTAGGAAAAAATGGGCATAGATTTTTCTTTTCACCTAAAAGTTTGTCTCTGACTTGGAGTAGGGATGGGGGTGAAGTAAGGAAGGTCTTCAGGTCAATGGAGTATGTATGGAATCAGTGAGAGAAAGATTAGTGAATGTGAAAAACCAAGAATTATCTCTTATATGACAGGAATAACCATGGACTTGATGTCTCAAACCAAAAATTATCTCTGAGCTTTGATGGCAAAAGACAGTGTTCAAGCTTTTTATTAGTATGTATCATTATTATTATTATTTTCATGGTGCTTAATCCAAAGCATTAGTCTCAATTCAAGTGTGTAGGTCCAGTGCCTTTAAAAATGTTATTGGACCTCCCACACTGATTCAGTACAAAACACGTGGAAGTGTCTTTTAGATTATCAGCAAGAATACATTTTCAAACTCCAAAATGTCTTATGTACCTCATTCCCCCCTCCCCCAGATACCTTCAACTTTAACACTTTTTGAGAAGACACCAAATCATTTGATTTCCAAGTAAATAATGTAGTGAGTCAAGCTGCTATAGTGACTGGCAGCTTTTCATCATGCCCCAACTCCCCCAACCAACACACTAAAACAAATTAATCACTTGCCCCAATATTAACAACCATAAAAAAGATAACATAAAAGTTTGTTTTAAGATCAACACATTAATGTTTATGTAAATAAATGCACACTTAATTAGATGCAAAATTATCTGATAATTACTTGCCCAAACAGCTATCTACTGCATTTAAACTTCCAAGCTGAACATGTAGCATCCATATATGCATCACCAAACTTAAATATAACACAACTTAAAAACCAAAGTGATTCAGCCAAAAGATAACATTCTAAAATGAAAAAAAAAAAAAAACATAAATGAAAGGTCTAATTCTAGGTAAGAATTTCTTTTCTAAGTGCTCTTGGAGAATTCTAGGTCTTTATTATAAAGAGGCAAAGATCTGAACATATTTTTAAATGAGCATACACATCCACGGAAAACCATACATCTTCATCTGTACAAACAGGGTTTTACTTCATTGACCATGGACAATTATCAGCTAAAGAGCCATGTATTTCCCTGTCTCCTTTCACACCCCTCAGAAGAACAATAACCCTCAATTAATGACACAACAGTTTGGTTTGAAAAATGTGATGTTGTCATATACAGCAGTGTGCATTTACTGAGTGACATTGCTACCAGCTTCTCAACAGAATATAATTACATCTGGAATCGAAAACCACTTCAATATGCACAAAAACACTGTAGACAGAAGGAACTTGGCGTACAAAAATCTGACACATAATGAGAAGGCAAGGCAAGAAAAAGGCTGGTGTAAGTGGCTCACCAATGTGTTCTTTATTTCTGTTGAAACTGGTACCTTTCTGTATTTCTCCTTACTTGAAAACAAGGTCCAATTAGCCCCCTTAGAATCTGTTAATTGGTTCTGAATCTCCTCCAAGTTTTCATCCCACTGTGAAGCCTTCCTCACCTATCTCAACAGTCCATCTAAAATTCTTCCAACATCTTCTCTCTTCCTCAAGATGGCTACCTTACCTAGTGGAAAAGACACATCTTCATGGTTGGTTTTTATAAATTTGTGAAGCATTTCAGAATTCAGTTCTTTAGTTGGGTCAATTACATACAATCTCTAGAACTAATCTGTGAAGGACTTCACATCAGTGTGTGTGTGTGTGTGTGTGTGTGTGTGTGTGTGTGTGTGCTGAGGTAGGACTGGCTCCTGTTTTCAAACCATCCTCACAAAATGTCTTCCTACAAGATTAATAAATTCTTCCAATTAAAAAGGTTAAGATACCTGGACATAAGGTTTTCTCAACTGACATCATTTGTTTCCATAGTGACATTGTTAAGAAGACATGGTGATATTTCTGAAGACTTACAGTACTGGAGAACACAGGGGGAAAATAGCAGAAGGAAAGGCAAGGGGGGGAGAAACAAAGGAACTAGAAAGGCCTCACACACAAATGGAGCGGCCTGAAGAGACATGTAGAACCCGAAGAAGCTGCCAGTCTGAGAGTGATCCTCTGAGATCTGGAAGGAACCTAGTCTATTCTTTCTGTCAGAGATCACCCCAAACCAGACAATAAAGTCTCTGCAATGCATCAGAATGATAACCAAGCCCCAGAACTCAAAAGGGAAAAGCAAAGAAAGGAAGAAAAAAAAAATCTCAGCATAGGGCCACCAACCTCCCTCACACTGAGGGAGTAACATTTCCTGAAGACATTCAGGGGACCTGGAGCAGCTCAAAGTTGTGTGAAGACCTCGGTGGAAATGTTTTAGATTTTGCCTTTCCTTTCCTTAAGGAGGTCAAAAACCCTTCAGGTCCACTCCAAAAGGAGGAAAAAAAAAATTCCAAAAGTTTACTTTAAAATGGAAACAAACATCTCAGTAACTTGTGAAAGCCCTCCTTGGGTAGGAAAAAAAATCTGAGGAACCCTGAAAAGCCCTCATTTCCTTGCTTAATGAATAGATAGCGAGGAACCACCACAAGGTCTCCCTCTGGAGAGGGAGAAGTAGGCAGGCATGCCTCTTCCTCCAGCCATCACCAAGAGAGCTTCAAAATGGAGACATCCATAATTTCATAAACACTTCTCATCCCAGCTTTGTCTCCTGGAAGCCCGCTCTCCTCCATTTTCTGGTGGAGTTACAGCATGACAAGGCTTAAGGCTTACCTGACTCCGTCCCCAGCTCTCAACCCAACTAGTCACTCCCTCCCCAAACCTGCAAGCAACCTCCAGAAACAAAACCAAACCAAACCAAACAGCCAACACAGACACTCAGACACAACCCCAGGGAGCCCTGGAGAAAGCCCCAACTGGTTGGTCTTTTCCCATCCCAGGCGCGTGCTTAAAAATGAAACTTTTTTTCTTTTCTTTTCTCTCTTCTTCTTCTTTTTTCTTTCTTTCTTTCTTTAAGGTTGGGAAGGAATATAAAAGGAACTCCAGGCAACCTCCTCCCCTCCCTCTCTGTAGGTTAGGAGCCACAATGAAAAGAAAACCAGGGTTCCTTCAGGAATGGTGAACAGCCTGGAGAATGAACGTGAGAAGGAGCTTTGTGTTTCTGAGTCTGGACTGGAACCAAAGCAGACAGCTTGCAAATGGAGGACAGGGAGATAAAGAAAGGGAAAGAGAGGGGCTGCTCCAATGGGGGGCGGCTGCGGCTTCCCCCCGTGCCTGGAGGGAGGGCAGACCCCTGGGAACCGCACCAGGAGTGAGACGCCCCCCCTCCAGGCCCCTGCCTTCCTTTCTCCCAGCCTCAGAGGAGCCAAGCGTGTGTAATGGCTTCTCCTCTCTAGAAACCGTTGTCCTCCTCCAACCAGACGCGTCTGAACCTTCAGCCTGGAGACAGCTCCTCAGCTGTCCCTCAACCTGCGCCCCCGCCCGGCCCGCGGCCCCCTGTTCGTCGCCTCTCTCCTCCCCAGTAGCGGCGGCGGCAGCCACCCCCTCGATACATCCGACCCCGCATCCCAACTTCGGAGAGGAGAGAGGAGAGAGGAGAGCCAAATACCTGAGGAAGAGGGAGGGGGTGCCAATCCGCACGGCCATCAAGCGGGGGACAAGCAGATAGAGGAGGGGAAAGGAAGCAGAGGGACAGAGAAAGAAAGAGGTCAACCAGCTCAGGTCGGGGCCGCTGGCTCCGAGCGCTCCCTCCTCTGACCCCTCGCTTGCTCCCTCTGGCTGGGGCTCAGGTCTCTCCTGGCCTCTAGCCCTCCGCCCCCCTTCTCTGTCCCTACTCCTGTCCCCACACTCGGAGCATCCGTCCTAAGCCTCCAGCTCTCTCCTCTCCTCTCCTCTCACTCTCTCTCTCTCTCTCTCTCTCTCTCTCTCTCTCTCTCTCTCTCTCTCTCTCTCTCTCTCTCTCTCTCTTCTCTTCTCTTCTCAGAACTACACGAAATTAATTAAGCCACAGGGCTCGCCCCCCCCCCCAGCAGAAGGCAGAAGGAGCAGCCAGCAGGAAAAGCACAGCCACCTCCACAGCTACCACCACCACCTTCTCCTCTTCCTCCTCCTCTTCCTCCCTAGCTTCTTCTCCTCCTCTTCCTCCTCCCCCTGCTGCTCTCCCTCCTCCCCCTCCTCCTCCTTCTCCTCCTCCGTCTCCCCTCTCTTTAGCTTCTTCTCCTGTCTCCTCATAGCCAGCCCATGCAGGGGACTTGCTCTCCTCCCCGCGCCGCCAGCCCTCCTTGGCCGAATGAATGAGCGCGTTTGTGCCTCCACCGCCCCGCGCTCTCCTCCCCGGAGCACTCAGACCACCCCGGAGGTGGTGGTTAATTGCAGTAACTTACAGAAGAAGCGTCCCGGCGCCGGGAGGTGCTTCGGGTTCTCCAGCCCCACCGCCTCCTTATCCTCTTTCTCTTTCTCCTCTTCCTGCTCGGGTTATTGTTGTGGAAGTTGTTTGGGAGTCTCATGTGCTTCTGCCGGGTCTCAGCAATGGAGGATCGCCATCTTCCCTGCCTTCCACGGCTCCTCAGACTCGCTGCAGCTGCAGATGACCTGAGATATCCGTCTCTCTCCCCTCTCCCTCCCTCCCTCTCCTCTTACTCTCTCCCCTCTCTCTCTCTCTCTCTCTCTCTCTCTCTCTCTCTCTCTCTCTCTCTCTCTCTCTCTCTCTCTGCTCTTCTCTCTCCTCTCCTCCCTCTCCCTCGCGCGCGCTCTCTCTCTCCCTCCCTCTGTGTGTCTCTCTCTGAATAATGAGCAACCAGAGGGAGAGAGAAAGCAAGACAGAAAGAGAGAAGACAATCTTCTCCTGCCACACAAAACGCCGGAGCACCAGGGGGTGCGCGAAGCCTTTCTAATAACAACAACGTGCAGGAGAGAGGAAGGGAAAGAAAGAAAGAAATGAGAAAAGGGCTGGGGGGGAAATACGAAGAATTATCCAAGAGCTGGAGAAGCGCAGAACCTGGAGGAGATGCTGAAGCTGCGGCTGCTGCCCGCCCCCCTCCCGCGCTGAACCCCAGAAGGAGGCAAGGTGGTTGCAAAGTTAAGGCTGGGACATTGTCTTTGTCACTCTGAACAACACAGAGCCAGGCCACTGAGATGCGAGAGGAGGAGGTGGTGGTGGAGGAGGAGGTGGTGGAGGAGGAGGAAGAGGAGGAGGAGAAGGAGGCAAAGGAGGAGGAGAAGGGGAAGAGAGAGATGAGATGAATAAAGACCTGCGGAAAAGGCGGCGCGAGGAGCGCGACCGCCGGGCCCCGGGCGTGCGCGCTCGCGTCCCGGAGGCGCCGGACCTCCCTGGCCAGAGGAGTAAGCCCCCAGTGAGAACCCTGCTCCGCTCGCACCATCAGCCCTGCCCCAGGCGCCCAGCCCCAGCTCTGGAGGGTCCTTCAAATGAATCCATCTAGAGGCCAATCTTTGCAAAGAACGGAGATGAAGAACTGAAGGTTGCAAGTCTAAACCCAGATCAACCACGTGGGGCTTTTTAATTCCTTTCCAGCTTTCAGTGTATCTCCAGTGAAGGGCTCAAGTTGTCCATCACTGGCACGTATTTTTAAGTCGTCGCCCTCTAAATAAAGGCTCATTGTGCGTTTTGTCTCGTCTGATACGGAAAGGAGAAGGAGCCCATCATTTTGATTTAGATGCCACCACTTTCTTTTCCAAACTTGTGAAATGTTTTGACGGCGCACCAAAGTGGGGGGAGGTCATACTTAATAACTTTCCACCCTCGCGCCCCGCGTTGTTTGCACTTTCCGACTGATCATCTAAAGGTTTGGAAAGTAACAATCATCGCTCCTAATGATAAGGTGTCATGGTGTTGAAGACAAGAGAACCGAGCTGCAGCATCACACCTTGAATTTTTATTTAGTGTAATTTCCCCCAAGTCACTCTGAACTATATCTCTTTTTCAAATAAGTGGGTTTCCACTCCCTCTCTCACCAGGTCAAAGATCTCCTAAGGTTTTAATTTGACTTAGGACGGGTGATGGGGGTGGAGTGGGGGGGACTACAGTACAAGGAAAATAAAATCAATGCAGCAAGTCAGGAGCAATTGAAGTTCAAGGGCATGGGCTGGTGTACGGTACCATTTCTATTTCTCAGATGCTCTAGTTGGACATCTATAGCCCCAGGAGAGAAAAGCACGCAGTGCAGCGCGCGGGGCAGAGACCTTAATTAAAGTTTCTTTTGTCCGCCTCTGAATTAGGGGTTGTTGCTGGATTCCTTCGCATTGAGGAGCGCGCATCCGGTGAAGGCGCGGTGTGGAGGATCCTGGGCGAGATTGTCCTCTTTAATACTCGTCCCGCCCCCCCCTCCCCCACAGTCGGGGCAGCAAGACCAGTAAACCCATACAATAAAAGCAAAGAAGACGCGCACAAGGAGTTGGTTCCCATCGGATAACGGCATTTCCTAAGCACATCTAAAATCCTCATTTCCCAAGATTTTCCCGATTGTGTATTCCAGGGCAGAATGTCTCACCCTGACGCACGATCTAAACCCCTTCCAGTCAACACTTCCTGCCCTTTTCTCCTCCCACTCACACTGAAAAGCTCGGGAGCCCTAAAAGGGTGTTGATGGCTGGGGGTGATAAATAAATAAATAAATGACACTACGCGTGCGGTGGCGAAGAAAAGGAGGGGGAGAAAAAAGGAGGGAGGGGGGTCAGGGAGAAGAAAGCGAGGAGAAAGGACTCAGGCGAAAGGGAGCTTGGAGTCAAAGAAAGCAGAGGGAGAAAGGAGAGGAGGATCGGCAAGGCTGCTCCGCAGCAAAATCCTCCTGGCTTTGTGCAAAGGGGGTAGGATTCCCTTCTTTCCAGGTGCCAGAGGGACCTGAGCAATTCTGTCTGTCCGGAGCTCCTCCCCACCGGGACCCCAAGGGTGTCTGAGTGCTGACCGCCGCTCCCCATCAATTCCTCGTGGCCACAAGAGGAAGCGCGCCAGGTTTGCCCCGTCCCAACTGATAATTTACCTCTTTGTCTTTAATAAAAAGCTGACTTTTTCTGTCAAAAGCTTTGCACTGGGCAAAATAATAATGATAATAATAATAATAGCAATCGTATTTCTGATTGAAAGCTCCTATCAACTGCTAGCTTTCGGAGGCTGCGATAAATATCTCCCTCGACGTGAAGGTACCTTGTGGGTTGGCGTGGTTCGGAAGTGCGGGGATGGGGACCGACCCCCCTCTCCCCATGAACGGGGACCCAGACGCAGGGAGGGAGGAAGGAGCGGAGGTCAGAGCAAACCTGGGGTTTCCAGGGCTTTCGCGGTCGGGGGAATGAGCCCTGGGGAGGAGCCTTGCGCCAGCGCCAGCGCGCCCCAACACGCTTTCGACCTCGTAAACCCACTTGGCAAAGGCCGGGGAAGCCGCTGGCGGAGCAGCTGCGGTGAACTCCAGAAATGAACCTGCGACGCGACGCCACGGGCTGCCACCCTGGCCAACACTCACCTCGAGCGACCGACATTGAGAGAGCTCCCGACGCGGCCGCTGGGGGACCTTGCTCCGCCCTCCCGTCCCAGGAGAAGAGGACAAAAAAAAAAAGGGGGGGGGAGATGGACTTGGAGATGGCCCCGCCCTTCAAACGCTCCAATCCTTGGAAACCAAACCTCCTCTCCAAGCTTCCACGTCTAGAAGGGACAAAGACTGCCAGGAGATCCAGGCGCTGATGGGGAGGTGATGGCTCCTCGCGCTTCTGGGGTGGGTGCTTTTGAGGGGTAGGTGTCACGGCTAAGTTTCCATCCCGAATAGGTCACCGAGGGATGGTCTCTAGAGGACAAACTGAATCTTCTGGTAAAGAAGCAAGCTGACTTTTCAAAGCTGTGGAGCAAACAATTGCAAAACTCCGGCATAGCTTTGCTGTGTTGAAGGTGGAAGACTCAATTTTCTATTCGTGATGCCACAGTCGGTTTTGGTTTTTATACTTTTAGAAGTCCCAAGTTCCCTAACTCCCCAACTGAAATGAAAGACATTAAGTCTAAAGGGATTGGGGAGGCTTTAGTGGTTTTTTTTGGGGGGGTCCTCAAATGATAAAAAAGTAGTTAATTGGGTAATGAAAGAGGACAGTGAAGGGAAGCATGGTTCCTGGAGGTTGCTGTGAAAGCCATACTAAACTTGGTACTAAAGTAACTGTAATTATGTTTTGCCATTAGCAGACAATTTAGATAAGCAGGAGAAAGTTCACACCTCCTGCTATTTCCCTCCCTGCAAATATTCACAAAGATAATGCAAGCCTGCACTATCTTCTCCATCAGGAGGGTTGGTGCTTGATGTTTTTTTTTTTTTTTTTTTTCTTCTTCTTCTTCTTCTTCTTCTTCTTCTTCTTTCTTTTAATACCAAGGGGGAGAGCTTAGATTTTACACACAAGCAACAACATGAAGGAAGTCTCTGAGGAACACACAGACTCCCTAAAATTTATTGTTTGATACTGTACCTTATGTCATTATTCCCTGGAGTCAGATGGGATTGCAAGACTTTATTAATGGCCTAGAGAGTAAGATTATGCCCTAAGTCTGAACTTTTCTTTTCCCAATTCATGAGTGACTGGCACACAGACTCTTCATAAAGAGAAATTATGGCTCATCAAAAGATTGACTTTATGAACGTTAATAGAACAATAACTCTTGCAATTTTAGTTGAAGAAGTCAAACTTTTGTAACCAGAGTGACCCATGCAGCTAGGACCTACTTGCTTGCCAGACACCAGAAAGGTGGGGATAGTCAATAAATCATTTTGCTTACTAAACCCTGAAAAAGGAAGACACTGAATTCTCTTGAAGGGAAGTGTTTATTGAGGGAAGGGGGGGGGGCTCCTATTAATCCTACAGTAGTGTCTGAAGGAAAAAAAAAAGCCAATTGGGCCATGGGCTATATTTAAAAGAATTTCAACTAAAATAACTGTTTATAGAAATAATTGTCTAATTAACAGAAATAATTGTCTAATCTCATTTCTAGAATGTTGACAGTCTATTGTATATATAAGACAAGTCATCCTTGTTTACAGAATGCTAAAGTGAAAAGAGAAAATCATTCGAGTTGCTATCTCCACTCTCTAAATTCCAGCTGGAAAATTGTCCAAGATGATGATTTTAGCAAAAAAAAAAAAAAAAAAAAAAGAGCAGATGAATAAAGACCATGGCTCTTCAGAAGTCTTAATTAGTCCATCCTCAAACATTTAACCATTTATTGCACAGCTCTTAACTCACTGGCCCTTCCATCTAGGTAAAACTCCTATGTGCTGAAGTAATGATTCCCAACAAACTATTTTTAATTCCTGAGATCTTGACTCCTGTTGTTTGGAAGGCACTCTGAGTCTTTAAAAAGGTTTTCTGAAAACTAATTGGGTAATCACAAATCTTCTAAATATTGAGACAATGAAGTCACTAGCACACTTTTCTGTCACAGTAGAAATGTTTTCTATGTAGGTATGTTTTTGTAACCCAGATTCAAAACATGTGCCTGGTTAACTGGTGTGCATATCTAGGGACTTAAAGAAGACAAACACACCTGACCCCTTAGTCTGAATAGCTCTCAGCGAAAGAGGAATTGTAATAACTTATATTAAACTTACTCTCCATGAATCTTTGTATATATAC